GTGCCTGTGGTCCCAGCTACTTGGGAGGCGGAGGCAGGAGACTCGCTTGAGCCCGGGAGTTGGAGGTTGCTGTGACTTATGCCACGGCACTCTACCCAGGGAGACAGCTTGAGGCTCTGTCTCAAAAAAGAAAAAAAAAATTTATTAGGAGTAAAGGAAAGGAGGACTTATAGGGATGCAAGGGACTCAAAGCAAACACAAGGTACAAACAGTTCAGTCTGCTTAAAGGGAGACAAAAATCTTTTTATGTCACAATTTTGGCTGGGATGGCCTTGCTTTACTAAAAAATTCACTTTCAGTAAACTTGGGTAATCTACTTCAAATTTTTCATGTGAGACACTTAAAGTGTACATAAGAAAAATAATACAACAATAGCACAAACTTTAGCAGAGCTGCAACTTCAAAGCTAAGGAACTCCACGTAGGAACAAATGGACCCAAAACTTGGATCTGAGAAAGTTGGTTAGAAACCAGATCACCTCAGATCTTTTTTCCCTTGACTATAAGTGAAATACTGACTCCTATAGTTTCATTCCAGTAAATGTTGTGTTTAATTTGGAAATCTGAAAAAATGCCAAGGACCTTGTCCCTTTACCTCAGGGTATTGCTGGGAGGATCAAATGGGACAAGAGGCCAAAGGTTTTCTGTGCTGTAAAGTGCTAAATGAGGCCACAAGCAGCCGCTCTGCCTCACAGGAGAAGGGCACCAGTGTGATCACCATCCTATGGCCCCTGCAAGGACTGCTCTGCAGTGACCATCATAAAACTTCAGCCCTCCAATGTTGATGAGCAAACCCCACAGCACCTTAAACCTTCCTTAAGGATTAAAATCAATGCATACAGCGAATGTGAAAGTGATACTTAAAAACTGATAGGTATTTTTAACAAATGAGCTCATTCCATAGAGCCAGCTTCTATAATGAAACTCGTTTGTCACAAATAAGCATATAAATGGAGGAATTAATACATGAGGAGATCGTGAGACTTAGGAACAGACTGAGATCATCTCTGTAGACTGTCTTCCCAGTTCTCTCCCCTCTTCTACCTCTCTTATGATAGGAAAACTGAGGTTATGGTGGGAACCCAGATTAAACTGCAGTTTTCTGACTCTTCTTCTAAGTCTCTCTTCTCCTACCAAATAATTTTTTTTAACATTTCAAACACACACACAAAAATAGGTAATAACACCCAGACTTTTAAAATGTTAATGTTGTTGGGTGGCACCTGTGGCTTAAGGAGTAGGGTGCCACATACTGGGGGTGGTGGGTTTGAACCCGGCCCCAGACAAAAACTGCCAAAAAAAAAAAAAAAAGTTAATATTGTCATATGCTTCAGATCTCTTAAAAAAAGAAAATTTAAGAGGCCAGGTGCGGTGACTCACATCTGTAATCCTAGTACTCTGGGAGGCCGAGGCTGGTAGATTCCTTGAGTTCAGGAGTTGGAGACCAGACTGAGCAAAGAGCAAGGTCGTGTCTCTACCAAAAATAGAAAAACTAGCCATGCACTGTGGCAGGTGCCTGTAGTCCCAGCTACTCAGGAGGCTGAGGCAAGAGGACTGCTCAAGTCCAAGAGTTTGAGGTTGCTGTGAGGGATGATGGCACCCAGGGTGACAGAGTGACTCTTGTCTCAAGAAAAAAAAAAAAGGAAAGAAAATAAAAGAATTAATTTAAGCATTATATCTTTATATATTGGTAGATTAATTCCCATTCCTCTATCCCATTCCCCTATCTCCCTCCCTCTCTGGAGGTAACCACCATATTGAGGTTGTACATATTCTATGATTTTTCTTTGTGTTTTTATATGCTTACCAAATGATGGATTATACGTCCATAAACCAACCACACCATGTTGTCAGAGCAGAGTTGTTCTTCAAAACAAGGAAGAGTCTCGCACTCTGTTATGCTTGCACACAGTTACAACCTTTTGGGTTTGGGCTAGATATTTCAGAACATCCTAGGGCAGATTCTAAAGTGTTTTTAAATAATTACCACAGAAGGATCTAGTGAAATATTTTGCTATCATTCAAAGTAAAAAAGCAAAGCAGGCAAATATAAACATTTTAATACGATTTCTTTTCTTAAAACATCTCAAGTTAATGTTTTATATTGTGAAGCACTGGTTTATAATGACCTGTCACTGAACAACTGCGAAAAATGGATTAAGCAATTTAACTAGTATTATAATAATAGGCTGAACACAGTGGCTCACGCCTGAAATCCTAACACTTTGGAAAGCCAAGGCAGGAGGATCGTTTGAGCTCAAGAGTTCAAGACCAGCCTGAGCAACATAGAGAAATTCCATCTCTACCAAAAACAATTATTAACAAATTAGCTGGTCATGGCAGCATGAACCTGGAAGTCCCAGCTGCTCAGGCGGGTGGGGCAGGTGGATCACATGGGGCCAGGCACTGCAGGTTGGAGCAAGAAATGACGGTGCTACTGTACTCCAGCCTGGGAAAAAAGCGTGAGAGACCCTGTCTCAAAAAAAAAAAAAAGGAAAAATAAAAAATGATAGTTTCTACTCTTGCTTTAAGGCCCAGCTCAACATCACCACCTTAGTGAATCTATGATCTCCCCTTTTTTTTTTTTTTTTTATTACTTCTTCCTCCTGTAGTGTTTTCGTGCCCCCCATTGGCTGGAATCACAAGGTCTGGCTGTCTCGTTGTCCTGTTGTTGTTGTAGAGACGGGGTCTCACTCTGGCTCGTTTGGCTCAGGGGGGTCTTGGCTGGTCTCGAACCTCTGAGCTCAGGTGATCCACCCGCCTCGGCCTCCCATAGCGCTGGGACTACAGGCGTGCGCCACCACGCCCGGCCATGATCCCCAATTCTTTCAGCAATCATTTATTAAGTGGCAAAGCCCTATAGATACAAAAGTGTGTCAGATCCAGTTCCTGCCCAGAGTTCAGAAACAATTAAACTATAGTGTTTGACAAATGTACTTATGAAGAGAGAAATTTATGAAGGGCTCGTGGAGCCTAAACTTTACTTTTCTGGGGCAACTGGAAAAGACTTTACAGAGGAGGTGACGTTTCGACTACATTTTGGAGGATGTGTAGGAGGTCATAAAATGGAGGACAGAGGTGATTCCAGGTTGGGAGACATTGAATGAGAGGGTACAAAGGGTGGTATTAGTTTTAGAAAGACAACTAAGGATTGACACTGGAGGTGGAGAGACAAGAAGGCTGGCAACAGTTCACACAAAAGATGACATGAGGAGGTAGGGGGACGGATTTGAACAAAATCTAGACGACAAATTTAGCAGAACTCGATGCCTGATTGTATGGGGGAATGATATAACGTGGAGGAGCTGTGGATGACTCCCAAAACTTCACAAATGAGCGGGTGGTGAGGCCATGATGGAAATAGGGACTACAGTACAGAAGATAAGAACAGACCCGAGAGAGGGAGTTCAAGGTTAGTTGGAGGAATTTAGAGCTGGAGTTGAAACCTGTTCCATGAGATCTTTAAAGATTTCCCTTCCTAGGCCACCAATCACTCCTTCCTTTGCACACGATTGTAGACTATTTACCTTTTCATGTCAAATTATTTAAATTTGCTGTATTTACAAGTATACAGGGTATCCCAAAATCAGCCCTAAAGTTGCCATACATAGGGAAGATGGGAAATCATAGCTGAATGTACCTTTATTTACAAAATAGTCATTATACAATGTTTACAAAATATTCTCTATGTGTTTGCCACCTCTTTGTAAAATTTTGTAATTGACTATTTTGTAAATAAAGGTATTTAGCTATGCTTTCCCATCTTCCCTATGTATGGTGACTTTAAGGGTGACTTTGGGACACCCTGTATATAAATTTGTAAATTATGGGGAAAAGGTACTAGGTCTAATCCACCTCCGTACTGTTCTTATGGCAGAGCCTTACACACAGAAGGTCCTCAGAGTTTGCATTCTTGAAAAGGCATCTACATCAGATAAAAGAACTTGTCAGCTAACGTTTATCAAAACAGTGAACAAAAGTTGTAAATCGGTGAGTATACATAAAATACCTAAAGTATCTGGCCCTACAACGCCTACTTTTAATGTTGTAGCCAATTCTGGATGTAAAGGAACTCCTTTTGTGCTTATCTTACAAGGTAATCTTTGTATTCCTGTTTAAGGGATAGAACAACCTAAGTCCCAAGTGACTGATTGACTTTCCCGGGGTCACGAGGTTTGCCAGGGGCTAAACCAGGATTTGGGAAGGCTAGTTCGTGCACCCTGCTCCCCGTCCGAGGTAAGCCGGCTCTGTTGCCCAATTCTCAGTAGGTTTGAAAACAAGAGGGGTGGCACCCTGTGGCTCAGCGGGCACAGCACGCAGGGGTCTCACTCCCACCGTCTCAGCGACAGACTAAAGCGCCCAAACCCAGAAAGTGCCCCGACGGGCACAGCCACCGAGACCGCACAGCACAGGGCTCGCCCCCGCCCCAGAACCCGCATCCTCCGCATTAGCTCCACGGGGCCCATCGACCCACCTTTAGCTCCAACGAAGCCACCCACCCCCCTCCCAGGCTCCCAGCATGGCCCCTCAAGGTCAGAACTCCTCAAACCTAAAGGGTCTCAGGAGACAGAACTGCTGGCCCCCGCCTTCCTCCGCGGTCCTGCGTCGTGGGCTGGCCTGGTGTGCAGCCCCATTCCGCAGACCTAAGGCAGGGGTCGCGACCCCGCGAGGGCCTGAGAAGACAAGCACCCAGCCCCCCCTCCCCCTTACTCTCTCTCCAGGACCCCGCCCACACTCCTCAGGACACATGATGGGTGGAACCTTCAGGTGAAGGACCCCAGGAGGGCCAGGGCCGGACAGCCGCCCTGACCAAAGCAGCTGAGGTGCGCGAGAGGTCTGGGGACGCTCCTTCCGCGTGCCTAAGGGGCGCTAAGGGCAAGGGGCGTGCCCACCTGCGAAGCCCTGGAGCGCTGATTGGCTGTGGTCACCGAGGCGCGAAGAGGGGGCGTGTCCGCACGTGAGCTCTTGAGCTTTTTCCCAGTGAGGAGGCCGCGCAGGGGCGGACGAATGTGTGCACGGCTCGGCCACCTCCTCCTGCTGGGGGCAAAGGGCAGGCAGCTTGCATCTGGACCCGGGAGCTTTCGGACTTCTGGCCATGGCAGAAGCTGAGTGGGAGTCTCTGGAGCGCTGCTTAGAGAAGCATATTCCGCCCGCAGAGTTGCGAAACGTGAAGCGCGTTCTCTATGGAAAGGAGACCAGGTTTGGAGTCTAGTGTTGGGGCCACCGAGTGTGAAGTCTGGGGGTCAAGGGGAGGGCTTCAGCGCTTATAAGGTCTGAATTGGCAGGCAGAGGCCGTAGTAGGTTTTAATGTGTCGGTCACTATTCTAGGGTGACCTTCACAATTCACTTCTCCCCAAGGTTGCTGGAACTGGATGCCTGGAAATGGAGGGGAAAGGACTATTTTTTACTCTGCAGGGCTTTCTCCGGCCACCCCTACACTCCTTCCCCCTTTAAATGACCAGCTTCCTCCCCAGAGCTAGGCTTGTCCTTCAACCAGGGACATCTAGCAGATGTACTGATTGTCCAGCCCCGGACCCTCCTGCCCTCAGTGACCAGATCCTTGGAGGTAGCAGCTGGCTGAATCTAATTAGGGAGGGAACCGCTCCCACTAACGAGCCCTAGGAGTAGTTACCACACTCAATGCAGTTTTTGCACTCCTGGCGAGTTGCATGTATTGTTAGGACTTTCCGAGGGCCGAGTCCGAGGGCCGAGCACTGCCGGACACGGACTATACAAGCTGGAAAAGACACTTTCCCTTTTAATCTTATTTTCTTTAGTCCAGTCTTCCCTGTGGCAACCAGGAGGATCCCTTTAAAATGTAAATCATATCCTGTTGCTCCTTTGCTTAAAACTCTTGAAGAGATTTTCCTGAGCTTTAAAATGCCATCCAAACCCTGATCCCATGCAGCTCCTGACTAAATCACCTTTCACTTCCTTGCCCATTTGGTGGAGGCCCCTGCCTCCCCCAGTCCAGCCAGACTGCATGCCCCATGACCTGTGGCAATGACCCTGCAGCAGGGACTTTGAACAGCTCTGTTGTAACTCGAGAGTATTAACTGAATCAGTGGTCCCAACCACGGCTGCTGTGGGGTTACTACAGGGAGGCCAGACATCAGATCCAAGGGTCTTTTCACAGGTAGTAGCTGGTAGTCAGCATAACTGTCTCTTGGGATGAGATGGTATAAACTTCATGAGAAAGAACTACTTTGTACCCAGAAGGGCTGGATGGCCTTCAAGGCCCTTCCCAGTGGGCTGGTGTTGCACTCCTCCTTCCCCCCGCACCTGGAAAGACTAGTAACTGGAAGTGTCTTAGAGTGGGACTCCCGAAGGAGGTGTCTCTTTTTTTCTTTGTTTTGAGACAGAGTCCCAAGCTGTCGCCCTGGGGAGAGTGCTGTGGACTCACAGCTCACAGCAACCTCAAACTCTTGGGCTTAAGCGATTCTCTTGCCTCAGCCTCCCAAGTGGCTGGGATTACAGGCACCTGCCACAGCGCCTGGCTATCAATGAAGGTGTCTTAAATAAAGGAGGTGATGTCTCAGATTTCTGAGGGTGGGAATTTGTTTTAAGGATGAGGTGGGCATGTTCTCCTGGGGAGAAAAATGGAGAGAGCTCGTGGGTGTCTTAGGAAAAGAGAAATAAGTTTCCACATGGGTGATGGGGGGGGCACATTCTAGAGCAGGGTTGAGGTCGGAACAAAGGCTACCATGAAAGAGGGATTTTATCTGAGTGTTTGTATCATTCCAGAGCAGGGAGGGGGTGATAATAGGTGGTAAAATGGGAGCCAGCGTCTAGTAACCAATGACTGCCAGACCTCATTCTGGTGCTTGGTTCACAAGCATGAAGAAAGTGGCTCCCCTTTTCCTCTCTTTTCTTCCTCATTTAAAAACTGTTCTCCCAGCTCGAGGCCTATAGCTCAGTGGGTAGGGCGCTGGCCACATACACCCAGGCTGGTGGGTTCGAACCTGGCCCAGGCCAGCTAAACAACAATGACAGCTGCAACAACAACAACAGAAAATAGCCTGGTGTGTGGTAGGCATCTATAGTCCCAGGTACTTGGAGGCTAAGGCAAGAGAAGAATTGCTTAAGCCCAGGAGTTTGAGGTTGCTGTGAGCTGTGACACCACAGAACTCTACCGAGGGTGACATAGTGACACTCGGTCTCAAAAAGAAAAAAAGCTTGGGTGGCGCCTGTGGCTTCAGGAGTAGCCTGAAGTGCTACCCAGAGGTGACGGGTTCAAACCCAGCCCCGGCCAAAAACTGCAAAAAAACCCAAAACTCTTATCCCACTTAAATTCCTGTTCACTCCTCAAAACCCAATGTGAACACAGCCACCACTGTCCTCAGCCCCTCCTCTGGATTCCCATTGTGCTCCACACAAGACCACCTTCTCTCCCAATTACAACACTTAGTAAATGTTTGCTAACATTTGAATGAGTTAAAAGGGCCTTTGTCTGTGCCAGACAGATGTAATCCCCAGAGAACACTGACTCTCAATTTTAAGACAGCTGGAACCAAAAAGCACTCATTCATTTGACAAACATTTGTTGAGTACTTATTTTTGTCTCTAGCGTGGGGATACCAGGATGAGTAAGCCACAGTTCCTGCCCTTGGGGGCTTTCCATCTTTTGTTGATTGCCTTAGGTTGTGAGAGAAGGATGCAGGGAGAGCCTGAGAGGGTTTATATGTTTGGGGTGGGTTGGGGTCAGGAAGGCTTCCTGGGGGTGCCATGCAGGAGTTTGTTAGGAGACAGGAAGGGCACATGTCCCCAGACACCAGGGGACATGAGGCAGGAGTAGCCAGGGTAGATCCAGGGGGCTCCCAGGCAGCAGAACTGTGTCCTGGTAGTGGTGAGAGCTTTCAAAGAATTTGCCTTGGTAGCTGTGTCAAGAATGGCCTAGAAAAGGGCAGGTGAAAATGAGAGGCCTGGCTTAGCACCCGTAGCACAGTGGCTATGGCACCAGCCACATACACCGAAGGTGGCAGGTTCGAACCTGGCCCAGGCCAGCTAAACAATGACAATTGCAACAAAAAAAATAGCCAGGCATGTGTCAGGTGCCTGTAGTCTCAGCTACTTGGGAGGCTGAGGCAACAGAATCGCTTAAGCACTCTACCAAGGGCGACATAGTGAGACTCTGTCT